CTAATTAATTTTTTTTTTTTTTTTTTTTCAGAAATTCTGTGCATTGTATTTTAAATGAAGGCCTAACACATTCATTTAATTAATCTTTTAACCAAATAAAAATTCTATTAATTATTTAATATTTAAATTTATTAATAATTTTAGTAATAGTATTAGTAGTAGAGGTATGTACATTCTACTGAACAACAGTAACAGGCTATTTCAGGCACAATAATGTCTTCAAGTTAAACCGATCTTTTATTTTGACGGGCTGCCGTGAATACCTTTTAAATTTCTGTGTGCATATATGACGATAGTTTCTCTCAAATGAAATGGTCAAATGCTCATGGACTGACTCTGAGCAGTTCTAGAAATGACTTCAATTTGCGATTGAATCAGATAAAGCAAGTAAAGAGCACTCCTTTGATAATCATTGTAGATTATTGTCAGTTCAGTATAATACTATAGAATAATGGTACATTTAATACGATTAGAATATATACATTTTAGAATATATACATTGTATGCTTCCAAACTTAAGCTCAGTGCTTTACTGTCAAATGTGCATTACCAAGAAATAAACGTCGGGTCAATATGGTATATAGTCTCGTATCACATCATTTCTGTCCTAGTGGTCTGATTCATCAGACAGCCGTTTGCATTAACAGTATTCAGTGTCTTTCAGTCCAGGGCAGTGCTCAGTATGCCGGATTGGAGTATTAGAGGATTAAGGGGCGTCCTTTCAAACAGCTAGTTAGCATATCTGAATACAGCAGTCTCCAGTCGTTATTTTGCAGTAGCGTTTGTTGATGCTAGAGGCACATAAATTACACAGTTCACCTTTAAGGTCAAGTGTATTTGTTTCTGTATGTTGTTTTGAGGTTTACATTGCTTAGTATGGCCGGCTGCTCTGTGGAGTGCATTACAATTTACAGGCCTGCTGTTGAAGGGGAATTATCCGCTCATTATGGGCCTATTTGCCTCAGTGAGTCCTGTGTTCTCTTCCCCCAAGCTGCCAAACAGACCTGAGCACTGGTACTGGTCCCAGCCACAAAAACTTTAGCTCTTTCTCTTTTCCTGTCTCACCCACACACACTTACATGCATCCTATCAATGCCAATATATTTGTGACCAGGAAGCAAAGTTGACCGGGCTGAGAGAGCCCAGCTCAGGGAATACTAATGAGGACTTACCCAAGTACAATGGCGAGAAGCCTCTCTTCTTTCCCAAAGTAAGAGCTGAAAAAAGATTCTGGCAGACTATTTTGCTTCAAGCCAAAACAGCTAACTTTCAGTTTCTTTGGTTTACAGAGGACTCACACACATACAGGCACTGAGACTCAGAAAATAGGATTTGTCAACAAACTATAACAATAACCTACTCTATTTATGTGAGTTTTTTTTTTTTTTGGCCTGGTCTTGATTAGTAGAGTTCTTGATGTCATGCCTGTGTTAGTTCTGCTATCATCTGTTGTAGTCGACCCCTGCTGTCCGGTGCTGGTGGTCACCCAGTGACTGCCTATTCCTGATGTCACATCCTAACGTGAATGAATGGGAGCGTGGTGTAGTACATCAAGACTCATGGTTGTTGCATAAGACCCTCATGCATGTTGGCCCCTCCCTGCATTCTCCCACCAAGCGTCTTTGCAACTGACAAATAGCAACGTCAGCAAAGCCCCCTGTTCTTCGCCCCACAGTACAACTGCTGTTTATTTGTACATGCATGTTTATATTGAGTGAAAATTGAATAATAGTGCAGATGACATTTTTAGTATAGCAGGAATAGAGTAGTTTTAGGGTGAATTATTATTGGGTGAATTATTACATATGCACTCTTGATGTGTTCAGTTCAATTCAAGATTAGCACAGTTAATACACTACAATGTATAGATCTGCACCTCTTTCACTTTAGGCACAACTTTAAATTGTATATTTCTCACAAGATTTAAAAATAACAATGGGAGACCTCTAATCAAAGTAACAAATGGCATCCTCTTTGTTTTAAAGGATATTCTTCAATGTTGCCAAGCATGCTCTGCATGTTCTGAGCCGGTGTTGCTGTGTCTTTGGATGTTTGTAGTGCTCAATTTTCATTTGGCAGAAATTGGTCCAGCATTTATCTGAACTAATTTGTCTCCAACAAGGGATGGTAAACTACTGTAAAGTACTCTGACACTCTGACTCTTCGTAAGAGTTACTACAGAAAGACACAAACAAAACCGACCAATAACTGTTTAAGTAGTGAAACCCAAAGCCAGCATTTAGATTTACTTGTTTGGGGTTTTCATAAAAGGGTCATTTGCAGGCAAGGGAATAATCAATAATGAGGCTTTGATTACATCATTGCATATTTGGCTGGAAAAAGCTGGCTTTGGATTGGAGAATAATAAGAGTCTGTTCTCTTTGGACTTTGGTGTATTGTGTGTATGGGAGGCGCTGGGATAATTTGTAAACAATGCCTTCCTTGATGCCAAGAGCTAGTGTGCTTTTGTAAGTTTTCATCTCGTTTTGGGGGTTTCTATCTCTACTGAAGCCATCCCTTATTTCCTCCGAGCATGCATGCTTTCCAGTCGTCTTTCACTCTCCTCTGCATCATTAAAGTGCGGGCACAATATGCACAGATATTTAGCCCTTGGCCACCTGCCCGCCTCCATGTGAGCCTCATTTGGTCTGTTTATACTGTGTCCCATTCAGCCATTGAAGTGTTGTTTTCCTCTAAACTTGGGACCGCACCTCTGGTATGCAGAGCTACAACTTCACACACCCACTGTACTTTTAATATTACAAGAAAACTGTATACTTAAAATCAGCCAGTATGACAGGGAGCTGTGTGTGTGTTTCTGTGTATACACAGTCCTTGCAGTGCAGCCTATGCTCTGAGGCAGGCTTGCTTTTTTACATCTATTCAGCTCATTATATTGTGAGCAGCAGTGCTAATTGCAGCCTGAATGGTCTCGGCTAAATGTTTTGTGACAGTTTGAAAGCATGAAAGAGAAGAGTGGCGCACAAGAAAAGGAATCCCTCTTTTTGGATTAGTTTTTCCTCCCTCCTAATGGCACAACAGAATGCTCTTGGCTTTAACCTTCAACTCCCATGCAACCCTGTTTCCCCTCCCTCACTAGAGAGGCTCCTCTCCAAATCAGGAATAGAGGTAGATATAAATAACGCCCGGGTGAGGGAACAGATCGGATCCTGCCGAAGCCGTGTGGGATGAACGGGGCGGTCGCTCACGTACTGAGCTACAGCTCCTTGGCAGCATTTCAAATATGAGCCTCAGAAGCCTCGCGAGCAGCAGACATATTGTAACAGGGAATGGCCAGTGCTCTGCACGCAGCCTAGTGCTTCTCTCAGGATGGTCGGGCGACATCTCTCTTCAGGTACTTTTCCACTTCTCTGCGACCCCACCCCCACCAACCTCATAGTACGATCCTCCACGCACTGATAACAGGCTTTTCCTTTTCTTTGCTCTCTGCTGCACTGCTGCTGTTTGATCTGGAAGTGTAGCATTCGTGTAACTGCAAACAAAACGCAAATCCCTAAAGCTATTGCATTGCTTGTTAGAGATTAATGCAGGGCAGAAGTTTGCTATGCTCATCTGATAAGCTTTCTTCAGCGAGACACTGTAAGATATTGATGGCAGCGCTAAGCTTATTGGCTTCAGTTCAGATTTGATAAGATGGCGTCCTTTACTACGCCGTGACTGTACAGAAGGACAGCGTTTGTGTTGGAAACACACCATCCTCTCTTTCATAGACTCCCTCCTTTTTTTCTTATCTTTAGTTGAAAGTGCTTTTTTTTGCGTGGTTGGTGACAAAAAGACTGGTGTGCACGAGCACTGCCGCTTTGCTCAGATCTGACAGACTGAGCCGTGTCTGCGCATGTAAAGCCACACAAAAACAACAACAACAGAGTTGAGCGAGTGCCAGGAGGCTGGGCAGCATTTGCCAACTAATTAACACAACAGTATCCTGGTATCCATATGTAGGCATTTGCACTGTTTTCAGTGTTTTTATCAATGTGTCATATTTAGAATGAACATATTTCTTTGAAAGCAAAGTCTGCTGTTGTAATCTGTCAGTCCAGCAGAGGGAGATGGTTGTGGTTGGGAGAACCAAGGCTTTGCGGTTACAGCAGTGAAAAACAATGACTCCAGGCTAGCAATAATATGTGAACCAACACATGCAGTTATTGGTGCATTTTTATTATATTATACATTTTTTATTATATAAGTTATGACCATAGCTATCGTGCTGATGTAATGCACAATTTTTCTTAAAGCAAACCAAGAAAAAAATGTTTTGATCAATATAGCCAGATGTTGCAGTAAATGGTCATTTATATGAAAAAAAAATCTTTTTTTTTCAAGTGAAATGTAAATCTGAGAACTTTGCATTTGTAAATATTTATATAGATTTAATTCCATATCAGTGTTTTAATATTTTCTTAAATACCAAAACTTTTTGTAATCTAATTAAAATCTCTTGCAGTATCGTTTACTGCATTTATGTGTATTTTATCATAAGTATAAAAACTAAATTGTTTTGAGTGCTTATCTGAATTAATTAAATTTAATATAGTTTACAGGCAAGGTATTTCAATCATTTCTTTTTCTTTCTCTCTTTCTTCCTGTAGAGCTGCCCCCACAGAGTGGCCTGGCAGCCCAGTATGAGAATATATCCCCCAATCGCAGTGCCACTACAGCCTCTACCAATAGCTGCAGCAGCTGGGATCCACTGATTATTGACGAGTGCGATACGGAGGCGTGGCCTTCCATTTCATGCAAAGAAAGCCACACCCCTGCAGGATGCCCCTTGGACACTGAAAGTATCAGTGACATCAGCAGCATGAGCATGGCCACAGGAGCTGGCCAGCAAGGCCATTTCTCCACCAATCACCCCAGCAAAGTCAATGCCAGCCACTCAGGAGGTCTACTCTCTAGTCAGGGTGGGGCCAGCAGAGGCTGGGGCTCTGGCCCATCTCCTGCCAGTGGAGGAGAAGGGAAGAATGAAGTCTCCAGCCCATCAGTGGGAGCCAGGGGTTGGGGCTCCTCCAACTTTAACTTGAACTTAAACCCCAACGCCAACCCCTCTGCCTGGCCAGTTCTAGGACATGAAGGGGCCAGCATAGGTGGCGGCAGCTCTGGAGGAAGCAACCTTCCTCCTCCTAATATCTGTAGCCCACCGGGCACTCTGCCCAGTCAGGGCCCTAGCAGCAGTGGCAGTATAGGTGGTGCCAATGGAAATTCTGCAGGTAATGGTGGCAGTGGCAATAGCAGCACCACATGGGGTAGCATTGTGCCCAGTGACTCCTCAGAGCCACACTCCACCCCATCCACGAATGTGTCTTTCAGCTCCGAACCGCAGAACCTTAACACTGATGGACCAAATCACACTAAGCAAGAGCCCAGAAGCCCTGGCCACAGCCTGCCTAACTGGGGGGTTGGCCCTGCAGGCAAGGGCTCATTTGTTCAAAATCCAGGAGGAGCCTCACAGGTCAATGGGGATGAAGAACCTGTTTGGGGTAATGGCGATGCCAAGTCTGGTAGTGGCTCAAAAGACTCTGGTTGGGACTCAGGGAGCAGCTGGGGACAAGGAGGGGCCTCAGGCACTTCTGGCTGGGGACAAGCTGCCTCAACTGGAGACTGGGGTAAGCAGTCCAACAGTGAGCCCAAAGGATGGGATTCTTCAAGCTCTCCCACCCAAGAGCAGCAGCTCAATTCTTGGGTCCGTGGGGCCAAAGCCCCAGCCAGTGAGGGAAGCAGTGACAGTATGGAATGCCATCCTCGTAGGAGGGTCTGTTCATCAAGAGATGAGGCTTCCCCTATTCTGCCTGCCCAGGATATGGACCCTCGGGTTCTGTGTAACACAGGCTGGGGACAAACACCAGTGCGTCAGCACAGTGCTTGGGAGACCAAAGAAGCTGCACGCGCCAACTGTAAGAATGACATTGGAACTGAATCCTGGGGCTCTTCCTCAAATGCAGCCAATGTAGGACCAACACCAACATCTGGCAGTGCCAACCCCAACTCTGGCACTACATCCAGACCAGACTCTGGGGGCAAGAATGAGGGCCCATGCCCCAGTACTGGAGCTGGACCTGGATGGGGCACAGCCATGCCGTCACCCCAGGCTAGCTCTGGTTGGGCAGATCCTACCAGCAACAAGAAACCTTCCAGTGGTCCTGGAAGTTGGGGCAGTACCCAAGCTGGAGGTCCAGGTGGCAACCTGCAGAAAAGTGGTCAGACTTGGGGCTCAGAGGAGAAGTCTCCTACCTGGGAAGACAGTCATGCTAAAGCCAAACCACAGGCCTGGCCTGAGGGGCCCAACCCTTCTCGTGGATGGAGCAATGGACCTGGTGGAGAAAGCGGGTCTGGAGGAGAATGGGGTGAACCTGGAGATGGAAAGAAAAATGGTCCCTCCAGCTCGACCTGGGATGGAGAGGGTACTGGCTGGAATGAGGGCTCCAGAGGATGGGGCAAGCCTGCCCCGGGCGTAGGAGGAAACTGGGGAGATGCACAACACCCCAGTATGCCATCACAAGGATGGAATAACAAGCCTCAGGAGGGCACCAATGGCAATAGTGGCAGTGGAAGCATGGGCTCTTGGGGAGGTCCTAGCTCTGTAAAGCAGAGTGGCTCTGGATGGGGAGGAGGAAATGGTGGAGGTGTTAAACCTGACAATACTGGAGAGCCCACTGGATGGGAGGAGCCCTCTCCACACTCCATCCGCCGTAAAATGGAGATTGATGACGGTACCTCAGCTTGGGGTGACCCAAGCAGTTACAAGAAGACAGTCAATCTCTGGGACAGGAATAACCCTGGGATGCAAAGCAAACCAGGATCTGGCAATGCCAACAATGTACCCAACAACCATCATCATCATCCCCACCATAACCAGCCTCCCATGCAGACCCACAGTCATGGAGGGTCAAATTCAAACAATAATCACATTTCTCCTGATAACACTGGCCCACATCCAACAGGACCACCTCACAGTAGAACAACCCTCATGAATCCAGGTAAGACCTTTACCTGGTTAAAATGTATCACTGTATGTTTCTTTGATAATTTTGGCATACAAGTGAAGAAAAAAACTAACTGTTCATGATAAGAGAACATGCTAGCAGAAAAAAAAATGTTCGGATAAATCAGTCAACAGAATAGTGTTTACATTCTGTCTACGAGTGTAGTTCAGGATAGCATTTGAGCCAGGAGGAAGTGTGTAATTAGGGTTGGGTCGCCATCTGTGGGGAGTATCACTAGGCCTCAGCAGGATACTTGGAACAAACCCGACGCCCTCTGCTGTTTGTGTGTAGCTTTGCACTCCCTCTGCCAAAGCTGTATTTAACGTGGCATCCTCCGATCTCCCTTGTGCCAAGAACTAAACAGACATTTAATATTGCAGCTTAATATTCCATTTTATGACAGAGGAGCCTACAGTTACATTTGTTTTTAAAAAGAAATAAACAAAATAAAGTTTTAATTAGAATAAATGTCTCAAAAAAACTGTGAAATTCATGTTAATTTTTGTAATTCAAATTTTTATGCTAATAATATAATTTATAGAGGAAAAAATACAAAATATCTAGCTGTATATATACTACACGGTGCCAGCCTCAAGAGAATTTAGTATATGGTTTATGATACAGTGAAAACTAAAGGTGCACTTGTCCTGAGTTTTGCCGTATTTCTTTGCAGGATGGGGCGAGATGACAAATGTCCATTCAAAACCTGAACCCTCATGGGTAGAGCCAGCCACCCTTGCAGCAAGTCTGGACAATGGCACTTCAGCATGGGGTAAACCCCCAGGCGGCTGGGGTGATAATGGCCCTGAGGTCTATGGTCGAGGCAACGGACCTCCTGGATCTGCCCCCTGCAAACCTGGTTAGTTTTATGAATGTACATTTATTTATTAATTTGAATAAATATAATTTTAGTTGCTTTAAATGATTTTATGTGATTAAAAAAAAAAATCAGGTCAGGTGATAGATATCAGAGCTTTGAAGTGTGTAACAACAGGGCCCCCTGTTGTTGTAAATAATGCACTACAGGATTATATATGTTTTGGTATCTCAGTAAGGACAAATGAGTTATTTCTATTGTTTGTAAACATAACCAGTAGCAAATGTTAATCTGTGCTTCTACTGTGGACATATTCAATAATCTGTCTTTTTGTTCCTCAAGGCCCAAAATCTATGCAAGATGGCTGGGGTGGTGGAGAGGACATGGGCCTGTCTGCAGGGCAGTGGGAGCAGGATGAGGGTGACATGTGGAATAGCACTGCATCTCAAGAGAGCAACTCCTCCTGCAGCTCCTGGGGTAACCCACCCAAAAAGGGCCCACCAAAGGTAAAAAAAAAAAAAAGCTACATAAGTTGAATGTAGGTGTCATTACATGCTGCAAATACAGCTCATCTGTTTTTCTTTAAAGGGAAAAGTCCCAAACAAACAGGATGATACTTGGATAATGAATCGTCTTATCAAGCAGCTGACTGACATGGGCTTCCCTGTGAGTACTGCTTATCTTTCATAAAATAGCATTTCTCACTCTGTATATTTGACTGTTGTCCCTGGGGTTAATTTAGCGATACTGACTGGATAATTGTACATTATCCTTATAGTTTTAAAAATATCCAGTTGCAAATGTATTAAATTATTAAAATTAATATTTGTAATAAGTATTAATGCAAATAGTTTATACAGTATATGGTGTTTACTGTGTGTTTGTGTTTGCCTTTGCAGAGAGACCCTGCAGAAGAGGCTCTCAAGAGCAACAACATGAACTTGGATCAGGCCATGAGTAGGTGTTATATCTGCAGAATTTGATCAGAGCTTCTTTGCTAGAATATTGTATTCAAATATCATTTGTGTGGTAGGTGCCCTGTTGGAGAAGAAGACCGAACTAGATAAACGGGGGATGGGAATCTCTGACTATAACAATGGCCTAGTCAATAAACCAATGGGCTGCAGGCCTTCAGTCATCTCCAAAGAATCCTCCTCAGATCGTCCCCCCTTCTTGGACAAGGTATGTGCTTTTCACAATTAAAAATCAGCACATTGTAATTATTGCATCTAGAAGACTTCACATTGTGCTGGATTTTGTTTGTCTTAGCTATTTATTTATTTTGTCATTTGCTCGTTAGGATGCTGGGCTAGCAGATGATGCCCAAACCTCACCGTTTATGCCTTCTCCGAGCCTGAAGCTCCCATTGGGTAGTACTGCACTCCCTGGCCAGAGCCTTGGAGTTGCAATGCAAAACTTGAACAACAGACAGGTGGGTCTGTGAGGATCTATGTGTATTTTGTATTTCAGCATTGTGTTAATCATCGTCCACCTGGCTGCCAAGATACTGAAATCTTTATTGCCTGATGTTAAACCGATTTAGAATGAGTTGTTTTGTGTGTTTATGTAGATGCAGAGTGGAGTGTTTGGTAGTAGCGGAGCAGCACAAGCCCGGGCCCTGCAGCAGCAGCAGCCTCCTCCCCAGCCGTCAGTGCCACCTCTCAACTCGTCCCAGCCTAGTCTACGTGCTCAAGTGCCTCAGTTTTTCAGCCCTCAGGTGTGCAAACAGACATAGATGCATGTAGTTTAGCACCTTATTGTGACAATGACTTCATTTGGTTACAGATAGTTTTTCACCACTTGAGTATATGTGGGAATGATGAAATCATGCTGAAGTCTGACCATTTTGTTCACTGACAGGTTCAAGCACAGCTTTTACAGTTTGCAGCAAAAAACATTGGTCTCAACCCTGCACTTTTAACCTCACCAATAAACCCTCAGCATATGACCCTGTTGAACCAACTTTATCAGCTGCAACTGGTAAGTGCCAGTCTTTCGACATCTTACTGATCTGTAATTAAAGAATGTTTTTTTTTTATTGGCCAGAAAGCTTACATTTCACTCCTAATTTCTCATTGTAATGAAAGCTTGTCATTTTGATCTTGCAGGCGTACCAGCGTTTACAAATTCAGCAGCAGATGTTGCAGGCACAGCGCAGTGTTTCTGGCCCCATCCGACAGCAAGAGCAGCAAGTGAGCGGTTCCTTCCCACAGCTAGTGCCACCCCGATACCATTAAAATCTCACAACCCTCAATACTGATTTGTTTGTTTTTAAATTCTAATGTGACTTTTAAATCTCAAACTTCTATAAAGGTGATCTGTGTTCACAAGCATGTCTTCTCGCAGGTTGCACGTACAATCAATAACATGCAGCAACAGATCCAGCAGCACCAGCGGCAGCTGGCTCAGGCTCTGCTGATGAAACAACAGCAGCAGCAGCCACCCACCTCACACCCGGGCCTGCATCCCAGCGCAGGCAAATCAGCTCTGGACACATTTCCAGCCCACCCCCAGGCCTCCAGCCTCTCTGTTTCCGACCTTCAGACCAAAGAGCCGCAGTCTTCTCCAAACTCCTTTTCACCATACCCTATTTGTGAGTTACCAGCACGCTCTGTTATTGTATTCTTTCTGTTCAGACTAGTGACGATCCAAATATTCTTCTATACACTGTTCCCACAGTTCTAGTAAACCTGGAATTGCCACAGAATTTTGAAAGTCTTGAAAAAAGTCATGTACATTTCTATAGTGAATATATTTTTTTCTAGTCCACTCTAAAATGTATAATCAGCTAGATATTGCTCTTTGGTGCAGATAAGTTGATTTGCATTGCATAGAGATTCTCAATTTGTGAGCAAATCTTTTCTTTTCGATGAGTCAGTCAAACTGGTTCACAAATTGACCCAAAAGATTCATTGGTAAATATGTCTAAATCATAATGATTTTTAAAAGCCTTTATTCAGTAACAAATGATTTGAAAAGTCATGGGAATTTTTGGGAAGCTATTTTCTCTCTCAATCCAGTTCACCCTAAATTCAACCCTGCTGATTCTTGCATGTGTGCTTCTCTGCAGCTGGATTGAACCCTAACATGAATGTGAACTGCATGGCAGTGAGTGGCCTGTCCATTAAGGACTCTCCTCAGCCTCAGTCACGCCTGTCACAGTGGACACACCCAAACTCCATGGAGAACCTCTCTGGCAGCTCCTCTCCAATGGAGCCCAACTTCAGCAAACATGGTACACATCATTATTATAGATATCAGTATGCATATTGTGAATATGTGGTAGTGTTAATTTCGTTAACGAAAACTATGACGAAAAATGTTCGTCAACAAGGTTTTTTCCCCTGACGAAAACGAGACTATAATTAGGTCATTAAAGGTGCAATATGTAAGATTTTTTTATTAAAATATTCAAAAACCACTAGAACAGTGTTATATATTTTGCTGACTTGTGTACTTACATTATCCCAAATGTTTCAAAGAATGTTTAAATTCAGAGAAATAAGCAATTTTAACTAGTGGCACGGACCGTGTCTATAGTGTCATTGTGTTGCCTGCCAATGAGGTCATAACCCCTCGATTTCCAGTTTTGTTTTGTGGAAAACATGGAAACACCAAAGACGCTTTAATATGTTGTGCATTTTATTAGACAGGTGACGACCGCACAGAGTAGCATTATAACAGAACTTTCAAACGTATCTAGTATGATAAAACAGAGCTGCTTTACACCACATATGCACGACCAGAAGGAGCGGAAGCGCTAAAGTGTGGCATAATAAAAGTTCAGCTGCTTTCGAGCCGTGTGTCACTCTCGTCTCTCATTAGCAATTTCTTCAGCGGCCTCGTTTCGCTTTGACTGCTTTCCACCTCACTCTGCTTCATACTACGATGTTAATAAATCTTTAATACATTAGCTCATCCACGAACATGATTTCTGCCCGAGTCCCATCGGTTGTGGGGATGAAGACGACAACTCCCATGATTCCACACCCAGTCACAGCGCCATCTACTGGTGCGTTCAAGTCATGTCGGATAGATCGTATTTACGAGTTGAGCGCACATGAACGCCACCACAAAGACGTTATTCAAACTACACCTTTGTTTGTTTTGAATACGCGCCCTCTAGCAGTGAAAACTTACATATTGTACCTTTAAATGATAACTGAGACTAAATGAACATGCAATATCATTGACGAAAAAAGACGAGACTTAAAATGTAGTTAAAAGAACAACATCTTTACCAAAACCTTTTTATTTTTGTTGAAAAAAGTGGAGCCAAAACATTTCAGACTGCTGTACAAGACTATTACGCGAGCATTCATGTTTGCGGTTGCCAGATATCAAGAGCTCAAATCCCCCAATCAGAGCTTTACTGTTAAACGGATACGTACTCAGCCCGGCTTTTTGCTTTATGCAATCTGGCAACCATTCACACGCCCTCTCTCTGCAGAGGCGCTGTGATCTGAAAACACCGACATACAGTACTGTACAAGTAAGCTGGAGTTCAGCGATCTCCGTTTGAGATATTCTGCTTAAATGAAAGTGTCATTCAGCCAGTCTGTGTTCTGTCATGGATCTCGACTGCATTGTTTGTGATAGTGGTTGCTGATTGTAACATTAATTACACAGCCTTTGTGCAGCAATAAGTCTTTTTGCCATTGTTTTAAAAGAGAAACATTAATGCAATTTGGAACTATTGGAATTACTATTAGGAATTCCTCTGTTATAATATTTGAGAGTATGTTTTTGTAACACAGGTTTTCATAACGTAGACAGTGCGAGTGTATATATTAAGTATTTGGTGTTTATTTAGCCTCTAATTGATATCCTGTTATAAATCTGTACACTAGATAAGGTAAAATAAACCATGCATACGAGTCGGCATTCTATTGACCTGTGCCTATTGGTGAAAGAGCAACTTCTGATGAAATGTAAAAATAAATTTCCCAAAGGACAACAATCATTGCAGTTAAAATTGAGAAAAAAAAAAAATTATCTTTTTAACCATTATACAGTAAGACAAAAATATGACAAATGTGTGTTTCCACTCACTAAAACTAGACTAAAATTCTCAGACATTTAGTCGACTAAAACTTGACTAAAACTAAAACAGGACAAGTTGACTAAATATGATAAAAACTAAAAATTACATTTGACACAGGACTAAGACTAAATTAAAAATAGCTGACAAACTTAACACTAATATGTGGCATAGTAGTTAATATCAGGCTTGATACTGATGATATTCCATATCACCAATATTACACAGGTGCCATCTCTGCAGGCCCCAGTCTGGGTCCCCCAAGTAAGCCCACGCTGGATGACTCCTACAGTCCCTACAATCTGATTCCCAGCTCCGAGTCTCCTGCCAGCGCCCTGGCACCTCATGATAGCTGGGGTCAGGGAAAGAACACAAATGACAAGATCTCCAATGGGACCAATGTCAACTGGCCTCCAGGTGACTAAATGGCCTCTCTAAAATCTCTTTGGACTAGTAGGATTATGAAAGCATTAAAGGGGTCATATGATGCAATTTCAAGTTTTCCTTTCTCTTTGGAGTGTTACAAGCTCTTGGATTTAAAATTGTTCGGATACTTTTGGACAGTTAGGTCACACTTATAAAACAACCAAATGTCATTACACTAGATTAAAACAACATTAAACCAAGTAGCATCTGCAGTGTTCGAACTATGCCATGGACTTTGGGGGAGCCCACTCGATTTTTTTTTTTATAACGGATGGGGGGGGGGTCGTGCGCTTGCGCGTGCCTCAAAAGAGGGCTTACAATATCTTACAAAGATACATAACAGCTACAAGTGTATGCACTACTTGCTTTATGCAAGCACTATATAGGATAAATCACTCCCCAAAATTTCACAAATCACGTTTTCAGGGGAGCCCATGTCTTATTAAGGGGAGCCGAGCTCCCCCTAGCTCCCCCGTAGTTTGCACCCTGAGCATCTGGGAAAAATAAATACAAAATTTTCAAAATGACTTTTAAGTGACTTTTAGTTGTCCAGCAGAGTTACTACAGGCGTAGTTCACCACATTAACTATGGACATAATCCACTGTTTGACAAACTAACGATGTTGGAAAACCATAAAATACTGAAATATTTTCTTTTTTGAATATATCATTTAAGAAAAAGAAAATAATCCAATGTTTTTCATTTTTCACATATTTGTTTTTAATAAATGCCATTGATTGGATCAGGGTTTTGCAGGATTTAAAAACATTTTTCAAATCATAAAAATTGGTAATTAAAATTAACAATTTTAATATAAAAACTACCAAAATGAAACCGTTACTAAAAAAGGCTGAAATTTATTAGTTTACCTGCATGCCATGTGATCATCAACCGACATCAGAGAACTGTGAACATACAAATATGTTGTTAAATTATTAAAATATTAACTTAAAATCTCAATGGGGCTTTAAGTAAATATTTTAGGTAAATATTTTGTAATATAACAGTTACAGCTAATGAAAAAGTTTTGGAATCCCTAGATTGGATAAATGTTATATAATGCAAAGACAATCTCACATTTTTAAGTGTACCAAATAGTGTATGTATTGATAGACAATGTGTCATGCTTGATCTGATTGGTATGAAATCCCTCAGAGTTTTGTCCAGGAGTGCCCTGGAAAGGACTGCAGAATATTGACCCTGAGACTGACCCCAATGTGACCCCAGGGAGTGTTCCCAGTGGGCCCACCATCAATACCAACATTCAGGATGTGAACCGCTACCTGCTAAGAGACAGGAGTGGAGGTAAAAAAAAAAAAATAAAAAATCTATCAGTGAAGTTTCTGTCAGATGACACTGAAAGTACAAAGCCTGAATAAATCCCATAACACCATGTATAGTTAAATATTTTTATATATTCTGAATAAAAGGTATTGCGTATTGCAGTACTGTTTTTATTTAGAATGTCTAAATGTTTTTCACATAATACAACCACTAAGATTGCAGTTGGTATTTTCTTCCATTTTCTTTTCTTTGTATTTTCTACGTACGTTATTTTTCTGATTTCAACTTTGAATTATTGCGTACTTTGTGCGGGACATATCGTAGGTTCCACCCTAACTTCCTCACAGGGTGAGGCTCTGCCTCCCTCCAGCGTTTGGCCAGTCACTAGCTCTTTCAGTCTGTCCTCCCAAGAGGCAGCCAGCACAGGTACAACTCCCAGAATCCCCTTCCTGCCCTCAGTCCTGCTCATCAAACTCTTTTCTTACCACTTACTGTTCAACCTAGCATGGGGCCCTAAAACGGTGGTCGCATTCCTGTATATCTAGTACATCCAACTCAAGTGTGACCCTTTCCCCCGTAGAGAGTTCTATCCTGCCTACATTCATCTGTACATCCCCTCAGTGGTGTTATTCACACACTGTCCCTTTGTGCAGCATGGTCACCGGCTATCTGTGATTTTTGTGAGGTGGAAGTGCTGAGAAGGCACTCTTTTATTTGTGAGACATGAACTCTTACAATATAACACATGGGCCTGTTTGCGGTGGCACCTCAGTGACTGTGACTGCTGTGAGAACACCTTTCAGTTAGCAAACACATTTACATCTCTGATCTACAGGGAAGCTGTCTGACATGAAGTCCACTTGGTCTCCGGGGCCCATCTCGCACACCCAGGCTTCTCTCTCTCATGAGCTTTGGAAAGTCCCACAAGGACCCCGGAACACAACAGCTCCTACACGGCCGCCCCCAGGCCTGACCAACACTAAGCCTAAGCCCTCGTCCACGTGGGGCGGAAACACCCTGAGCCTGGTGGCTGGCTGGAGCAGCTCCTACTCTTCAGGTGTGTGCATAAAAGGTGCAGTTTAACACTAGAACCGCCACAGGGTAAATGTTTTTAGTTTTTTACGTTTTTCAAATGTACATGACAGATTTTACTAAAATTGTGTAATTTACAATCCCCTGATGTTAAAAATTGTTTAGGCAAAGCCAGATCAAAAAACGGGGCATTTAAAAACAAATTAATAATTAATTAGCTGAAGCTGTGCACTTAAATTTGTCATCGCATCATACATCCTATGCAGTGTGGTGAATTATTGTTCATTATTGTCTTATCTATTTTAGTAATTTAAATAACATGGGTTATCTTAATATATTGCTTAATGACATTGTATTATAATATCACACTACTCAAATATGTATTTATTTCCTTCTTTTTCTCGTTGTCAGTGCAGGCTTGTTTAGGTTATTGACCGCTATGAAAAGTGATTAGTGTAGCCTACATAAAAAAAAGCCTCGACCATAAAACAACAGGACAAAAATATAGTTGATTACTAGACATAATAATTTCATGACTCTAGACACTTCTTTGTGAAGACAGTGGCATAATACAGTGAAATAATATGTTCTTTAGCAATATCAAAACAGTAGTCATGTACGTGGGTAAAATTTTCCCGTTGGCGGTTTTAGGTATATGATGACCCCTGGCGGTTCTAGTGTGAGGGACGGCAGCCACACACCCCATTGGCCACTGGAACAGCAGCAGTCTTGGAGGAGGAGGAGTGGGCGGGACGGGGTCCGGCGGTAAGGCGAGCAACGAGCTGCTGTGGGGGGGTGTACCGCAGTACTCCAGCCTGTGGGGGCCGCCCAGCGCTGAGGACGGCCGAGTGGTGGGCAGCCCCACCCCAATCAATACGCTGCTCCCTGGAGACCTGCTGAGCGGAGAGTCCATGTGAGAGTGCCAAGTGCTCGAACCCCCTAACCGCAGCGAAATATGAAACTTAACGAGCAAAAACCAAGCAAATCATTTGGCGATAATCAACGTCAGTGGAACTGTGAAAAACCAAGAGACAGGAGGCTGAGGCCACACTTGCATAGAGGCTGCTGACCTTCTTCCTCTACTTATTTGTTTTGTTTTGCGTTTTTTTCATGTGTTATTTTGATCGTTAGGCTTGGGTTACAGTATTCTATAGACTTCTTACGAAGAACCGTGACTAAAAGAGAAGTGAACCTTTACCAAGACTTTTCTCTAATAACTGATACCAGTGTGAAAGTGTATTTTACTACAAACCGATGAGACAAGCTGCCATTTTTTTTAATTCCTCTGGCACGAGCACATCCTGTCAGCCCAATCACAGCATATCACCCTCTCCCTGAAGAAACGTGCGTCATTCCAAACCAACTTCCCCTACTCCCTGTCTTTTAGACTGGATCCATGGCTTTTTTCAGTTGTCCTTTGGATCGTTTGGATTAATTAACAGCACTAAACTTTAGCCTTAACTGCTGATCAGTCCCACTCCATTTGTACTTTGAAGAAACTCATCTTAAGAATTGCACATTTTCTCATTTCTGAGCCAGGACTGTCATGGTTTCGATCTCAGCCACAGCATACTTGCATTCGTCCTTCCTGTTTCCCTCGGTTGCCATCTGTCCTAACTTTCAAAAGAACGGACAGATATCTGACCCCTCTGCACATTTGAGGCATTTATTCTTAAGCTGAGAGGACACGTGGACAGCTGAGGTATATATTAACCACTGCTCACTAAAAAATGTACAGGAAACACTTTTTCAAATGGACTACTTTATTTTCACTCTTTCATTTTCCTAAACGACCTCGGTCTCTCAAAAAAAAAACATAAGCCCTCATTGTCGTTCGTCTGAAGTGCAATATATGCCACAGACTCGTCCGTCCATCTTTACGCAGTGCTTTTTTGCCGGTGAAACGGTAGGAGCTCGCCTGGGGACGGGGGGAGGAATCAAAGACTTGTCTCCTGCCATGTCCACCAAGTGTGGGACTGAACAGAAGAGGACTCTCTCAGTGTGTAAGCCCATGGTGATGAAACATTCACAAGCACTTCCTCTACACACTTGAGGACAAGTGTGACTACAGGGGCAACAGGGGCTTCAAACCAAATAAGAGGTGTTTCTTGTAACCCAGTAGACAAAGTGCATTTTTTCGTCGTTGTTGTATTTGGTACAAAAGTATGGAACAAAGAAGGCGTGGTTTCTTCATAGCACTTAGCAAGAGCATCAAGCTCCGACTTCAATGCCAACAAATTACACATGGATTTGTGAAACTGACAAAAAGCAACCATGAAAAGCAATCTACCGAACTTCTCCTCCATGCTCCTTTTTGAACTCTAAACGGATTTTGCCATTTCCTTTCTTCTTCGTCTTCGTCTTTCCATGGTCTTTTGACTTTGAAGTCAGACATTTCGAAAATGGTAGCAAAATGAAGGGATGTCTGATGAGGAAAAAAACAACAACACCGCAACAAGACTGAAGCGTTCATGTGTTTTTGTTTTCTTTAAGATGATATATATCAAAGTAAATATCACTGTTACAGTACTCCAAAATCATTAGCCTTTTTGTCTGGAGATGCTAGACGTGTTGTAATGTTTCTAATGGATTCTGCGGGGCCCCGCCTACCTGTATGATAAGTGTGGCCATTGAGTGCCTATCTGCTGTGGCGCCTCGGGTGCCCACACTCTGACTTTTGACCCGCTGTGCCAGGCCGGCGCACCAGATGCCGGAACGCCTGGGCCGGAGCAGTGGCTCCTTCAGACCTGGCCAGTCAGTACGTACTGCGCCAGCACTCGACCTCGTCTCAACTTCACTCTCATAGACTCTCTTTCTCCTTCTCATGCAAAGATCACTTTAGCTGGAAGTGGACAGGTTCGTTTTATGTACTTTTTATATGATCGATTGGGTTTTTCCCTTCTGGAATTGCCAGTGTTTTTTTTTTTGGTCAACATTGCTGTTGTTATCGTCGTTGCTGTTGTTGATGTTATATCGTTATTTTACGCTTTTTTGTTTTTCGATTTGTGTGTGTCAATGCAGTGGTCTCTATGGTAGCTGCTCTCACCAGCCCCTCTTGCTGCGCATATGCAGAAACACTCTGATTAAGAGGCACACCTCAGCATCAACGGTGGTGGCGATTTGATACCGAATAACTTGTAGTGAGGGTTGTTTTAAGGATGGAGCGCACGTAGTGGCAAAAATGAAGAGTAAGGTCGATGGTGCTCAGTTTGTCTTCTGCCTCTCCTCTGCACTTTCCTCCGCTCCGGTGTCGCAGCCCTGCCAGGCCACACACTCACACTGGTGCTTACGACAAAGGGCAGGCAGAGTACACTACTTTACCTGGTCGCCACTTCTCACAGTAATAAACGCAAATGATAACGGAGACTCGGTTCTCCACTTCTATGCAAAGACCGACCGAGAGGTGCAGTTCAAGGCCTTCAGCTTCAATCTGTAGTCTCTCCAAGCCCACTCTTCAGCTCACCAGTTGATTGTGAGAAGGCAGCTTCCTTACAGTGTGGTCTAAAGTAAGAAACGGGCCCCGCTTTGTTTGAACTGATGACCAGGCCCTCACTGTTTACTCTCTGAATGATCTCTTATATTATGTACATGCAGTCTCAGGGCAGCCTCAGAGAACCCCAAACTGTTTTAGCGTTACAAGGAGGGCGTTGTTGCATTCTCCAATGTGGCTTTAAAGATGCTAAATGGGTGGGCGAGTGGACTCGGAGAACTCTGTTTTTCTAGATCCTAATGTAACTATTCTTGATCATAGATTTAACCTAGACATGAATCTATCAGAGTGGAACTACTTTCTTGAAATTTGTCTTAATGTTTGGTTTTGTAAAGAGCACATGGAGATGGAGAGGTAGAATGCAGGTTGGCACCAAGACAGACGGGTAGCACCTTGTCCCGGGTATCAAATATACGCCTGGGAGGACTGCTGACATTTAAACAGGGAATCCAGAATGTTTAGGTGCACTGTAGATGGTTCACATTTGGGTACATCTTTTTTTTTTCTTTTTTTTTTACCAAAAAAGGTTTTTGTATGATTAATATTAATATTGTTGAAAAAAGGAAACTTTAATTCTGTAGTACACTCTTGACTGAAGTGCTTCTCTCTGAAAGCCTTTGATGCCCTGATGTGGCAGACAGATAGATGACTCTGGGGTTGCTGTATTGATGGTATTAAATTCTGTCCTGACCCGATAGTAGGGAAACGGTGCACTAGCAACAATCACTATTGCCTGTTTTTGAAGATATATATTTTTAACTGCCTTTTGTCTAAGCTGTACTCGAGACCATGAAAAACAAACGTCCAAAATGTGTTTAAAATCCAGAGGATTGCCTGGCAGACTAGCTAGCTAGCCAACAAGTGCCCAGTCCTCCACTGTGGGCATATACTTATCTATAGGACTAATGTACCCCAGCTCCACGAGAACGGCTCAGATGCAACTTTGTTTAGATAAGAAGGCTGCTTCGATCGTATAAAATAACAGGATCTGGGTGGAGATGAGCTCTAAGAAACAAAAATCCTCTTTCTTGGGGTCCTGGCTAGAATATGCACATGCTGGTTGATATACATGTACAACTGAAATCCTGTGTATGTATATAACTGGTTACCTTTTTGTTTATTTACCTTTACTTTGGTTTACAGGCCCGAGTAACCCCGTTTCCTTCTCTTCATAAATTTACCTTAGATGATAAAAAGCATAAACATATCAAAATTATACAAATTAAAAAACACAAATACTTGAATCAAAAGCAGCGCCAATAATGTAATGTGAAATTTTTTTTGTAATAATTTTGTCATTCATACACTTCCAAGCTTTTTGATAACATCAGTTCAAACTGAACTAAGAAAAAAAAACGTAGTTCAAAAAAGAAAAAGAAAAAACAGTGACATCGTTTGTATGTGAGTGTTTGCACAAGATTGCGTGTACTGTATGACGGATGAATGCGTTCATTTGCCTGTGTGAGTGGGTTCAAACCAATGTATGCTAGTGATTACAGTGGATTTGTTTGCGACTTTGTTTCATTTTAAGCATCTAAGGTTTTGTTTTTTTTGTTTTCTTTTCGTCTTTCTTTTGTTGGCTAGTCAAAAATATATTCGTATGTGTATTGTTATCGTATTTGTTATTAGAGTTGCACTGAGTGTCTGCTTCCCCTCATTCAGCTAATCGTACAACATGATATTAAAGTACTAAGGGGACAAGGTGACAATTCATGTGTTAATGTTTACTCAAGGACTTATTGAGAAAAATAACAAGTGTTTTTTTTTTTTTATCTGTAATACTATTAATCTACCTTATAGTGGCTTTTATTGTGGAATAATCCATGATAAAGAAATTGATTATTTTGAGTATTGCACCATTGTTTTTCAGATTATAAACAGAAAAAATACAAAATAACAAAAAAAAATTTATATAAATATAAAATGTGGGGAATTTTTTTTTCGAAGAACTGTGGCCAATGATCGATGTAGAGGGACTTGTAACTCCCCATGTTACACCATGATGAGCTGGATAGACATCTGGAGAAGAGTTTCTTACAAGACTCATTTCAGAGGTGCCTACCTTTCTGGTTTGCTTTTTTTTTGGGGGTCGTTAATGTTTGTGTGTTCTAGTTTTTGTTCACGATCTTTGTGCAAGGCCACCAACAGTTTACAAGCATTTCATGTTTTTCTGAAGTTCAAGGAAAATAAATTTTACGATGGGATTGTCATGAGAAGAGAAAAAATCCTAAAGGACATATACTTCCATCAAATGAATAACAAAAACACTTTACGGAATGAAGATTATTGTGCTACTTGCAGAACTCTGGGATTGATCAGTGTTGTCATTTTTTGTTTGTTTTTTATTTATGTTGGCAATGTTACTTTCATAGATTATCAAAGCCTGTACTTTTTATTTTTATTTTTGAAAGCAAAAAAAACATTTCCTTTGCTGGAAAAAAAAGAAAGAAAAGAAGACATAAATGTTCACTATCTTGCACACACAAAAAAAGTGGATCATGTCTCAGGAAGGCAAGGGTTCCAGAGTACCAACTCCACGCCATTTAATGTTCGTTTTTAGAGAAAGAGGATAACAGGAGAAAAAAAACAAAAAAACATAAGCACTGAAGGTTATGGATTTCAGAAGAAGAAAATACATTTGTTTCTAAATCCGTAGCAGTTACATATTTACCAAATAATGAACTCTTAATGAACTTTAAAAAATGGAGTGCTTTATATATAAATCTATATATTGAAATTGCTTTACATTTTAAACAAAATGATCAATGATTTTGATTGTTCAAAAGATGGTGAAAGAACATACAAATGCTGTATGTTTGAATCTTTATTGTATTTTCTTATAAGTGTGGATGGAGATACTGGGTTGCTTTTGCCTTTTGATTTTAAATGTCAAGGAATATGTCTGTACTGAGATTAAGAAGTCTGTGGCTTTTAATGTTTTTGTTTTCACTCTCTTTCTCTTTTTCTCTCCTCATAGAATGTGATTGTTGACATGCACCGAAAAAAACAATTTTGAACTATGGAGCTTCTTTCAAACAATTAATAAATTGCATTTTTGTTCTTGGCTGTAATTAATTTGGTTTGGTCATTTGGTTTGGTCAGATGGGAAGCAGTATCCTGCAGTGTTATGGGCTATAGGATGAATATAGGTAAAGTGGGATGCTTAATAACCTGTTATTGTATTCTTCTGATAGAATGAAAAATGTTTTTAGTAGTGCGAGATGACTTATGTAGCAATTTGTATCACATACAAAATGCCCATGATAAATTACCAGAAAGTATCCAGCCTGTATTCGCCCTGCTTTATCTAAAATTATTTAAACCCAGTTGTTTAAATGAGTAAAGAAGAATTGGAAAATGCTGTTTTAAGGAAGAACTACAACCAGTTTGATCATTTTACGTAAAAGGAAGAACTTTTACCCAATTTTATCATTTTATCTAAATACATTAGGTTATTAATATTATTTTTAAAAATTTAATTGTAGTGTAATTCTTTATAGTGTAGTGTAAATATTTTTATAATTTGGTATATTTATTGTTATTTACAATTATGTAGGCAATTGTTTGTTATGCATTTATTAACAGAAGTGACAGAATATTTGTACTTTTTTAAATGTCACTTTTGTCATTTGTCCAAAAAAAAAGAAAGACAGAGAAAAGAAAAGACTAAATGGTCATTTAAATATGGTGCAACACTAGGAACTGACCCTTCGCAAAGGCCCCTTTAGTTGCTGTTGCTACATCCGACAAGCCATGGCGCTCTCATGCCACACTTCATTTACCAAAGAGCAAAGAGGACACTGACAACGCACCGACAGACAAGACAGAGCTGGTTACTTTTGATATGAAACAAAGTCTCAGCTTTCAAATTTATTTATTTATATATTTTTAATTCAAACAATAAATACCGTTTTGTGGCTCTTTAATGTGTTGTGACGGATCACTGTAGCGCCTCAGTTCAAACGGCACCTGAACCGATTATCTCTTAATATTTTACTACTATTTATAGCATGGAATAAACATGAATGAACATCAGAAGGTAGCTATGTTGTTTCAAATACGCAGTCCAAGTTCAAGTCCACCAATGTTAATCTACTGTTCAGCTAACGGTGCAGGATGAGACTGGAGATTACCAGGCTCAGCATATAAAATTATAACATGTAACTATGTTAATATTTTAACATGAAACTGTATGTTAATTCTGCTTTCATCATTTACGGTGTTGCAATTATTTTGTTTCTCGGTTTCTGAAAAGAACGAGGCAGGAGAGGTTTCTGTGAGGGTCTCAGGAGTCTCTATAATACCAAAACATCAAATGGCACTATTCCTTATAAACTTTAGCATGACCCTGGAAATGAATACACTGCATAGCTTAATTCACAACTAAGCTGAATTTTATGACGATTCTTTTTCCTGATGCTGTTCCACATTTGTCCGATTGGGGGATCCATAGAGGTTCTCCAGCATAGTCTTCCACCCTGGAGCAGATGTTTCGGGGTCTGGTGGACAGATCCGAGGACTGCTTCCTTTTCCTTTCACACTTGACATGTCTTCATAAATTGGAACTGTGGTTTGACGCTCTGGCTGAGCATGTGGCTTTTTCTGAGGACAAGTAAGAGGGGTGTTTTCACATTAAGAATGACACTATATTACTTGTTATATGTTAAATGAAGTGTTCAGCTATGTTGTTGGGGAACCTTACATAATGTGTCACAAAGAGAGCGATGGCCGAGAGTAGGAGCAGATTCACTCCTACTGTGATGGTATAGATGAGCAGAGAATACCTTCTACAGGAGCACAACTCACCTGAAACAAACGGATTATGTGCTCAGAGTCAGATCTGAGCTTACTGTTCCATCACTACAGCCAAACATATTGAGCTAGAATCTTAAAGGGGTCATAATAAGGCAGCTCTAAGACAAGAGTGTCATTTAGCTCAAGTCAGTTCAATAACAGTGTAAAGTGCATCTATTTTGAAACTAGTTGAATTCAGGTATAAGCAGATCTACAGAAGGCAACCGTGAGGTTATTGGGCTCGAGTTAGTCTATTGTTGATTCAGTTTTGGTCTCACCTGATGGTGTCGGTGCAGTTATATCGATAATATTACTGAACGTGTGCTTCTGTTACTAAAGCATCTATTCTATGGTCTTTAATCACTGAAGCTGGTCTAATGGTAATGGATAGAGTTCGGAGTACTTAAAGTTACAGTTTATTTATTGTAGGCTATCCTACGGTGTCCGAGAGAGCTCAACACACTGCAAATTCAGAAAACACATGCAAATAGAAAAAGCACCAGCAAATTAAGAAAACATCATCAGTTTGACAGAACGTGCCGCAAATACTCGCAACACAACCAAATACAAAAACACGCTGCAAATGCTCACAACACAAATAAAGAGACGCGCTGCAAATACAACACAAACAAATAAAGAGACGCGCTACAAATACTCACAACACAAACAAATAAAGAGACGCGCTGCAAATACAACACAAACAAATAAAGAGACGCGCTGCAAATACTCACAACACAAACAAATAAAGAAACGCGATACTCACAACACAAACAAATAAAGAAACGTGCTGCAAATACTCACAATACAAACAAATAAAGAGACGCGCTGCAAATACTCACAACACAAACAAATAGAGACGCGCTGCAAATACTCACAACACAAAGAAACGCGCTGCAAATACTCACAACACAAACAAAGAAACGTGCTGCAAATACTCACAACACAAACAAATAAAGAAACGCGCTGCAAATACTCACGACACAAACAAATAAAGAAACGCGCTGCAAATACTCACAACACAACCAAATACAGAAACACGCAAGTAGCACAGACCACAACAAAATTTACCCAACAAAATGAAAATTAACCAGGTTTTTTTTTTTTGCTGTATTGATTACCATTTGTATAACCAGTTGCACAAATACCATGGTTAAAACTATGGTTAATGTAGTAAATACATGGTTAATTTGTGCATGGTTACAGTCAGTAACCATTTTTTGTTTTCATTTTTCTTATATAATAAATGTATTTATTAATTAATTTTAATAGTAGGCTATGGTTAATTTTTTTTAAGGCAAGTTGTAAAAGTAAGTTAGCCAGCTTACATAACCTTTCACAGTTACAGTAATTGTGTATTTCGTCAGCTTATAATATCCACAAAAAAAGAGCTAATGTGCAGTTCCCAGGGGTGGGCAAACTTGGCCCTTCCAGGTCACTTTCCTTCAGAGTTTAGCTCCAACTCTAAACTCTAACACCTGAACCAGCTAATCATTGTCTTCAAGACTACTAGAAAGCTACAGGCAGGTGAGTTTTATCAGAGTTGGATCAAATCTCTGCAGGAAAGTGGCCTGGAAGGGCCAAGTTTGCACATCACTGCCTTAAAGGAACACTCCACTATTTTTGAAAATAGGCTCATTTTCCAACTCCCCTAGAGTTAAACAGTTGAGTTTTACTGTTTTCGAATCCATTCAGCCGATCTCCAGGTCTGGCGGTAGCACTTTTAGCTGTAGCTTAGCATAGATCATTGATTAGACTGTTAGCATCTCGCTCAAAAATGACCAAAGAGTTTAGATATTTTTCCTATTTAAAACTTGCCTCTTCTGTAGTTACATTGTGTACTAAGACCAACGGAAAATGAAAAGTTGCGATTTTCTAGGCCGATATGGCTAGGAACTATACTCTCATTCCGGCGTAATAATCAAGGAACTTTG